AGTAAGTCGTGATATTAAGAACCATAACTCTCTAGGTTCAGGAACTCTTGATATAATCCCGGATGCTGAGGGGTAATTACTATTAGAACTATTCTATTATTTAGATCTACGTGTCGCAAATACCTTTTTCGAACATTAGAGAAATATATACATATTACAATCCATCATACAATACATGGTCACTCATTTTCTCTAAATCGACAATCAGCTGGATAAAAAATATTAAGGTACTTCACCAGGTTATGTTTAGTTCAGATCACAAACTCCTAGTTTGCTATATGATGATAGACCCTAAAACTTGGTATAAGAAAAAAAAATGTAATAGGAATTTAAATACAAAACGTCCCAAGTTAGATTTAAATGCCTTAGAGGATCAAAATATAAAGGAGGAGTATATAAAACAAATTAAAGAAAAATTTCTAAACTTAAAGGACTCTGTTGACACTACCCACCGACTCACTATGGGAAAATAGAAAGCTTTATACGAATCATTAATATTAAAAGAATTATTTATTTCTATTGCCCGGTCTTCAAGATATTTCCTCTTATCTCTTCGTAATTTATAACTAATATCTTCGAGAATATACTTAACTCTATTCCTCCTATAATGTCCTGTCCCCACAAGATTTGCAATCAACTTTCTTGATTTAGCTGAAATCCAATCCGGGTAACTGCCCTTGACCGGTAAAGAATTGGACGCTGCTTCAATAAAAATATCACGAGTATTTTCCCATAATGAATCGGTGGGTAAAGTGTCAACAGAGTGCTTTAAGTTTAGAAATTTTTCTCAAACTTGTTTTATATACTCCTCCTTTTTATTTTGATCCTCTAAGGCATTTAATAACTTGGGACGTTTTGTATTTAACTTCCTATTATATTTTTTCATCTTATACCAAGTTTTAGTTGAGGGTCTATCATCATATGGCAAACTAAAAGTTTGTGATCTGAATTAAACATAAACTGGTGAAGTAACTTAATATTTTTTATCCAGCTGATTGTCGATCTAGAGCAAATGAAATAATCAAAAATATTTTTAAGTAAGTCTTCCAATATTCTTTAACTGTTAGCACTTAATAAATAATATTCAATTTATATAAAATTAGTCAATATTTAATATGATATTTTAAGTTATATTAAGAAAGCTCTCCAATATTATTCAACTCCTAGTATTTTAAGAAATGGCTTCTATATAATTAATGTCTGTTGAAGGAACTTATTTTAAGAAATGATATTAATTTTATTTGAATGAGAACTGATTGAGAGAAAACAGATTTTTTTAAGTAAAGATAATAAGATACTTCATGGATATTATTAGTTCCAATTTTAGTCAGTTATAGTAATAAGGTATATTAAGGTTATTAATTATAAATAATTATACTTAAATAAAATTTAACTAGATATTTCTCATAATAGGAAAATTACTAAATAATTTAAAATACTAGTAGTTTAAAAAAAAAAGATTTCAATACCTAAACGGAAACTCTAAATAATTAAATAATAACTATATTGTATTTGGAAGAAATAGCCTTCTATTCTTCTTATCTTATACCAAATAATACTATAATCGGATAGGGTGTAGTTCCACTCTTTTATGATAAAACTACTGAGTTACAAGGTTAGTTGGTATCCTTGAGAAAAAATCGGCATAATTATATGGAAGGCGGGCCTCCATTTCACGTTCGCTCCTTGGGCAAGTCTATGACCAACGTGCTTAATATGATATTATATGATAATCAATATATTTGGGAGCGAGCACCATTTTTCAATAAGCCCTCCAAAATGATTTGTTAATTTCAATCAAGTTTTATAATATAATGAAAATATTTTATAATTATTTATGTGTGTTGGGAAAAACATAAATAACGATAAAAAGTTTAATTAAATACATATTTATTTTTATTACATTAAGCCTGTGAAATTTATGAATAAAGTCGTGTTAAATTTTTTAATTATTAATTTTAGTATAAATTAAAATAATTTTCTCCTTACTTTCAATAATATTATCTAATTCTATATCTTATGTTCTGCCTTTTATTTACCTAATATAATATTTTTATTAAACTAAATATATTATTTTTATATAAATCTAGATAGAATTAAAAGTCAAATTACTACAATCAAAATATTAAATATTGACATTTATTTTAAAAAAGAGAATTAAAATAATTAGATTTTTCCTTAATTTTATGCAGTAACAATTAAAATGACTTTTTTTTATGATTAATTCAGTATATAAAATTATCTGTAATAAAATTCAGCAATTAATTACAACTTCGCAAAAAAATATTTAAAAAAAACGATTGCCTAAATTATAATCAAAAAATAAAATGGATTTTAAATAATAATTTACAATTTTTTAAAAAATCATTAATTTTAATCATGATTTAAATCTCCAATTAAATCATGTTAATCAGCGCATAAACATTTATAAAAACGCAGTTTCCTTTTTTTTAAAAAACGCTCAATTAGGTCGAACTATTATGCAACTTCTTTTTACCGCTAAAAAAACGAGTAGTTTGGGCAGGATTTTATTTAGAAATAAATTAGAATATTAAAACTAAAAATGTAAATGCAAATATTTTATTTACTTTTAATTAGAGATTTGCAAAGTTAGGCCCGGCCCAAAAGGGCTTCGGGCCGTGCTCGAGCCTAATTCTATTTAAAATAATCGGGTTCGGGCCGGGCCTAATATTTAAAAAAAATTCGGGCCGGGTCGGGTCGGACCTTGGAAATTTTTATAAATATATCTAAATTTATCAATTTTATATTGAATTTTTAATGTAAAATAAAAATATTTGATTTTGTTTATTGAAACTAAACGACATATAACATATGTCATTTATTTTGAGTAATTATAAAGATTTTAAATAAATTCTGGACGGGCTAGGTGGGTAAATTTTTTTATAAAAAATTTCGGGTTCGGGCCGGCAAAACTTTTCTAAAAATCATTTGGGGCCGGGCCGGGCTTGAAAAATCAGGCCCGATGCAGATCACTACTTCTAATAACAATTTTTTAAAAATATCAAGGTGTCGAAATCATAATTTATCAAAACTTAAAAAATCGCAATAAATTTTAACTATATTTTATTTCGGCTTATTAAACAAGTTTACAGTGCTGGAGATTTGATGGAAAACATTTCCATATTTTTTTTTATTTACAATAATAATTATTTGACTTGCCAAAATAAATTTGTTTACAATTACACCTATTTATATACTTTTATCAATTTTTACAAGTTAAATAATTTTATTTACAAAACGAATTTTAAAAAAAAATATGCAAAGTTTTCCATTAAATCTGAACAACACCGAAATACAGTGATAATTATATTTAGTGGCCTTTCCAATGCTTAAAAGTTATTAATTATAATATTAAAAAAAATTTTTTTATTAATTTATTTGATTCTTATATTAGTATTGTCTATTGTATTTCTTTTTAAATGCGGAGTATCATTAAAATATCTATAAAATGAAAAACCTAATTTTCCAGCTTTTTCTAATCCAAGCATGCTTCCAAATTTATATCGAATTAAGCCAAAAGGAGAACACATTCTTACAAACACTGTCTCTGTCTAAGTTGTGTTAGACTTAATAGTTGATTAAAGATTAAGATAATATCTTTATTATCAGGCTACAAAAATTCAATTTTAGGATCTCTGCCACTCAAGATTCAAGACTTAATTTTTAATATATTTATATATGCGTCATGGCTAAAAAAAAGCAAGCCGAATTATATCACAACAAAAACGTTAAGGAAAAAAATTTCCTCATTTCGTTTCTCTCCGTCGGGATCGGACATCTGTAGAATTAGGCTGGATAGTGGGCTCCAGGAACAATTTAACAGATGATCAATTTTTTAAAATCTGTTTATGAGATCAATTTTTTCTTTATTAAAAAGCAATAATTTTGGGATTATATTAAACCCTGTCGGATCGGATCCTACTATGAATGCGGCCATGACCGTAAATTCGCGCGAAATATGAATTAAGGGTTAAAAAAGGCTTTTATAACAAATTTCGAGCAGACAGGCAAAATTTTATGAAATAAATGTTATTAATTGAATAAAATTTATCTTTTTTAAAAAAATGTTGAGATGATTAACGCGATCTGGTGAGTTATATAAATTAAATGAAACGAAAAAATACAAAATTTGTAATTCTAGAATGCGGAAAATAATTTTTCGATTCCCGAGATAGGAATAAAGTTAAATATGACTATCAACAAATCAATCCCAATTTGGGGAGAATATATATAAAAATACACGTAATTCTTTCATTGAAAGAAAAAGAAAAGAAATACACATAAATATAGCAAATTTTGTATATTGCCGTGAATTCGTGCTAACTGTGAATGCAGGCTAAAGCCAGGATAAGAGTAGTCTAAAAATCCCGAATTTGGGTGGAATTAAAAAAAATGGATTGATTAATTTTAGCCACCTGGAAATTTGGGAAAATTGATGTCTAAAAAACTTTTTGTCACCTAGGAGCAACATATCCAGGCTTACATAATATTATTTTGGTTATTATCTTAATCACGTTTATTAAAGTCGACCCGAATCGGGGTTTTTAACAACACTAGAATAAGAGCTAGTGATGACAGATGAATGATATAATACGTTGGGTTAAAATATAGAAATTTAACAAACAACGTCCCAGATGTGATTATATTTCAATAAATAAACTTTCCCTTTCCTTTAGCGACATGCACAAAAAATGATGTTCCGAGCTGATAATCTAACCTTAACTTGCCGCGCCTAGCCTGGTAAAAAAATATTTTTTTTTGTATATAAAGAACTGCAGGCTCTGCCCTAAGACCGAATATTTTAAATCGCCATTATTATTATTATCTAATTAAAAATAAAAAAATATATATATTTAAAAATTGTGTGTCGTAGATGTTGTAACTGTTGAAGAAAAGAAGAAATAAATTTAATATAATACATCAAATGTCAGTTATTTTCTGACAGGGAAATTAAGTTTTTCTTGGGGGAAGAAGAGGAGATAGGGATCACGGGGTGTGTTTCATTGTTCGGAAAAACCCGTAGTTGGAGATTGGGAGATATTGGATTAGATGTCAGCTGTGGACCTTTGAGAAATGAAGAATTGGATAATTATATTATGTTATATTTTTCTACATATTTTATGTTAGATTGTTGTGGTTTTATTGGAAATAAAGATAATTATGTTAAATATGGATCGTCGTTAATGGTCAATGTATTTATTTAATATTATTAGAAAGAATTATTTTGGGTTGTTAAGTTATATAATTGAGAGTAAAGGGCATTTTTATTATATTTAAGGTAACTTGTAATATTGTTGCCAGCTGACCAGGATCGAAAGAGTGGGTTGATTCGGTTTTAAAGTAAAACAAAATTTTTATTGTATACATATTACATAAGAGAAATTTTGACAAGGCAATGTACTAAAAACTATACAGATACATGAGTTTAAGGATTTCTATACTTTTATATTTAACTTAAAAGGTGTAAGATAGAAAGTATGTAATGAGTATTAGGCAGAAATATGGAAATAAGATCAGGAATTTAAGATAGTAATATTTGGTATATTATCTTATGTCTAGATGTATATGGTACATATAATTTTGATCATTATTTGGTATGCCTTAAAACTCATTGAATGGTGTTATAGGTATTCCGTCATAGGAAGCTGAAAGACCTCATGAACAGCAGGACAGAAAGGATTGTTAAATATTTAAATATGTGAAATTTATGAAAATATATATGGATATAGACTTTTGTAATAAAGTGTGTATTATTTAATTATGCATTTTGGGTTTGTAAAGGGATGAATATGTATGGGATAATTTATTATTAATTAAGGTTAATATATTGCATAGGTAACATATGATATATTTAACTATGAATTATTATTTATAATGTTAATATATTGTATAAGTAACATATGATATATTTAATTATGAATGAGAATTTGAAGAAATTGAAGTATGATGAAGTCAGAATAATATCTATAATGTTAGATGTGGATAGTTATTTTGATTTAGTGTCTGCATTTAGTGTATATATAAATTGGATAGGAATTTGTATGATACATTAGATGGTGTATAATATTTTTTTTTCCAAATTATGAAATCTTTATATTTAATATATATATTTTTTTTTTGTTAAATTATAAAATTTTATAAAAAGTTATATTTGCAATTATTATATTATTTTTATGGTATGCAATGATTGAAGGGAAATATTTTTACAGATAAGGTCAGCCCGTGTTGATGGGTATGCCTTGAGGTGAGAATATTGTTTAGTTTGCATACTGGAGAAAGTTTTTTTTTTGGGTGTAAATTTTTTTTGTAAATTTATTCTGCATAATACATTTTTTTTATTTTTGTAATAATTTTATAGCACATCACATTTTACTATTTAATTATGAACATATTTTTTAAAGAAAAGACTCAAATTATTTTATATTGTGAAGGTATATTAAAAATTCTTTATATATATACCATATAGCCCATTATATTCTCAATTGTTGTTATTTTGCATTCTACATTTTTGTGAATTTGTGCTAACTGTGATGACAGAGTTAGGTAGAAATGGTATATTTTTCTTAGGATACTGAGTAATTCCTAGATGGGAAATATTGTATTTTCTACGTATTATATTTGTTCCTTCATATAAAATATTAAATGTATTTGTATATGGATATATTGTAATTTTAGGTAGAATCTTTGTTTGGCAAAGTTTCGCAATTATTTGTAATACCTAAGGATGGATTTTTCTATTCATTTTAGGAAATATTTACATAAATGTAGCTTTGTTTTTTTTACATGACAGAAGGAAAATTACATGTGTTGAAATTGCATTTCACACACAGACAATATGTTCACATTACATTATTATATGTAATATCATTATTTCTTAATTACCATGAATCATATCCAAATAATGTGTATTATAGCTCATATTTCCCAAATGTCTTAAAATGAATGAATTATTATGTTTTGCTGATATTACATTGTCCATATTAATGTTGCATAGATTATAAATGCAGATACCCCAATGTACAGGTCATTATTGATAATATGTGTTTTCGCGATTATATGTTGAAAGGTATTGGCGATATTATATTATAAATCATCATAAGGGAAGACGATTCGACAAATTCCCTGAACGTCTTCAAGGCGTCTCGATACAATTCAAAAAGGTGATTCGATACAATTCAAAGAGGTGATTCGATACAATTCAAAGGGGTGATTCGATACAATTCAAAGGGGTGATTCGATACAATTCAAAGAGGTGATTCGATACAACAACACCACAGAGAGAGGGACGCTGGGCTTGTGAAGGGTGGGCGTGTTGTAACTGTTGAAGAAAAGAAGAAATAAATTTAATATAATACATCAAATGTCAGTTATTTTCTGACAGGGAAATTAAATTTTTCTTGGGGGAAGAAGAGGGACGCTGGGCTTGTGAAGGGTGGGCGTGTTGTAACTGTTGAAGAAAAGAAGAAATAAATTTAATATAATACATCAAATGTCAGTTATTTTCTGACAGGGAAATTAAATTTTTCTTGGGGGAAGAAGAGGAGATAGGGATCACGGGGTGTGTTTCATTGTCCGGAAAAACCCGTAGTTGGAGATTGGGAGATATTGGATTAGATGTCAGCTGTGGACCTTTGGATGTCAGCTGTGGACCTTTGAGAAATGAAGAATTGGATAATTATATTATGTTATATTTTTCTACATATTTTATGTTAGATTGTTGTGGTTTTATTGGAAATAAAGATAATTATGTTAAATATGGATCGTCGTTAATGGTCAATGGTATTTATTTAATATTATTAGAAAGAATTATTTTGGGTTGTTAAGTTATATAATTGAGAGTAAAGGGCATTTTTATTATATTTAAGGTAACTTGTAATAGTAGAGTAGATACAATATTTCCTATTTTCATTTTTTCAACTAAAAAAATTTCTAGTAAAGTATTATTCAAATTAATTATTTTTATTTTAGATTATACTCAATCAAATTAAAAGCAACAATGATATACTCAATATTTAAAATATAATATACTTTTTGAGGGAAAAATTTATTTAAGATATCTCCCCTTTCCTCTGTCTCAAATTCAGGCAATTAATATATGTTGCCAAGGAGAGAGCGCAAAATGACTGATACTGATATAAATGACTATATTAAATTACAAGAGGAACAGGAAATAAGGGAATTATCATCTACCAGTCAAATTGAAAGTGTCGTGATTCAAACTCACTCCTTTTTATGCCAATGAGGAGGTAAAATAATTAGTTATTATATAAGGATTTTATATTCTTTGAAATAGGTAAATTTTTAAAAGTCTATGCCCAGAAAAAACTTATATATCGTCAAATCCAGGCACGCTAGAAAATGGTACTTCTGCAGGCCTTTGATATAAATAAATTTTAAAGGACACATGAAAAAACCCAATAATCGACCGATGGTAATGCTAATTGGCAGATATAACTCTTAGAAATCTAGATATAACTTACCATTTTAATGCCATTCTTTTTTTTTAATGTTCAGTTTAAAGCTTAAGATCTTTTTTGAAAAATTCTAATCGTTTTAAAACTTTCAGAAGTTTTAATTTTTGAGATTCTTCTAGAATTATATTTTTGACATGTTATTAAATTTCAAAAGTTTGCGTCGTATTTTTTTGGACGTAGTATAAACAAAATAATATTACATATGATTACATTTCTAGGAAAAATGAAGAGATTTCTTATAATAATAAAGATATTGTTAAAACTAATTTTTATAATAATTTTAAAAGTAAATCGGATTAAGTTTGAATTTATAAAACCATTATATAATGTTGTTTGTTTTTACTTTTTTCAATGAAATTTTTCAATGTGCTGTTTTTTAGCTAATTAAATTTTTAGATAAATTACAAAGATAACAATATTATCATGAGAAAATTTTTTAAAATAATTTGACCTTTACAAAATATTGATTCACAAAATCGTAAATAAAATCAAAATGTTTAATGTTTTCACTATTGCTGTCAAACGGCTCGATTTGATCCGCGTTTTTTAAAAAACGACCAACTCATTATTTTATCCAGAAAAATATTTGGCAACAACTGGAAAATTTTGTTCATTAATATAAAAATTTTGATATCTAATACTGGCTAAAATATTGAGTCGCCATTTTAAAAAATCGAGCCACATTAATCACCTAATCAGCCCACTTTTTAAAAGATATTAATATAAAAAGTTTTGATATCTATACTGGCTAAAATATTGAGTTGGCCATTTTAAAAAATCGAGCCACATTAAATTTCACCTAATCAGCCCACTTTTAAAAAGAAGGGGAGGGGCAGTATATCGATAATAATAAGTATAGTAAGTAGATTCTGTAATTTCGGGCAAAAAATTGAAAGAATAGATAAAAAATTAATTAAACCCGATCATCTCGTTTTTCATATCCCTAATAAATATACCACGTTTAGCGGAGAACTAAATATGACTATACCGATAATTTTCATTTTCCTTCGATTGAAATTTAGATATTTATTTTTAAACACGCTTAATAAAAAAAATGGTTATTTTTAAATGAGAAGGGGGGGGGGGGTTGTATAAAAAAATATAATATTGCAAAAATTTTAAATGACAAAAATAAATCGGGGAACGACAATTATCACTTTACAAAAATAATATTTTCCCAATCAATCATCTTATATCAATGATTCAATTGAATTTCTTGCCAAAAAGATGTTCGAGGGGAATATATTAAATCTTACATTTCATCTTTTCTTTCCCCGTAAATGAGGAATTTTTTGTATATATTATAAAAAAAATACAGTGGTATGTAAGAATAAATAGACAAGCAGTAACTAGATTTAGTTCACAATTTTTTTTACATGATTACATAATTTGTCATAATTATTTTATGTCATTTTAAATAATTTGAGGTAACTTGTTAGTGAAGTCTGCAGTTTCTTAGTATGGGTAATAAATTTAAAAAAGAATAATAATTAAGTTCCTAATTTATAAAATATTATTATATTAAAAAGATGAATTGAAATGTTAATATTTATTTTTTAAAAAAATTAGAAGTTCGTTAGTTAAAATTTCTTAGTCAAATTTGCGAAATTTCTCTAAATTTGTGAACAATTGTGTTAAAATTTAAATGGCGCATTTTCGTTTCTACCGATGGATAATAATATTTATATTGAGCAGTGAACAACTGATTAATTGGTATAAATTTAAATTTATTTACTTATTTTAGCTTTTAAAATCAATTATTTTTCGACCCATTCTGAGCCTGCAGTTTATTTAGCCTTTTTTTTAATCAATATTTTTGATTTTGAAAATTCAAAAAAAAAGAAGTTTTTGATTTGAATTATTTTACAGTATAAACAATATAAATTTTTACTACATTTTACAATGCGTGGGATAAATGTTTCTGATTTGCTTATAGCAATTTATCATCAATAAATGTTTTTAGGTAAACAATTTTTAAATTTAATCACTTCCTTCTGGGTATAATTATTTGAGTTAAAAAAACATATTTTGGAATAATATATTTTTTTCAAGAGGTCAAGGTAATAAAAATCCTTTAAAATTATTATAAGTATTTTTTTATGGGGGAGAAATGTCATTCAAAGGGATGACCGATGACCACCCAATCATGTATTAAAAGTAATAATATTCTCGTAAAAGAAATGTCGTTTGCAAAAGGATGCCCTAAATCAATTGGGCATGATAAGGTAAGGGGTAATATGGTATAATCTTATGGTAATATATTTACATCTATTTGAAAGGGAGA